CTGATAATGAGGCTCGTGTATTGCACAGAACCTGCTCTGGTCTGGAACGTGTCCAGAGATCCAGGGTTTCCTGCATGCTAAGGAGCCCAGTCGTAAAGCATGGAAGAAGGTCTACTTTTTCCTCCGGCGCTCTGGTCTCTACTGCTCCACCAAGGGCTCCTCCAAGGTCAGCCAGTCAAACCCAGCATTCTTATTCAGCTTTTAATCACAGTTGAAAGCATGCAATGAAACAGTAAAAGAAAAGGAGGAGCAGCATAGCATCAGAACAGCAAGGCTAAATGAATGACTGGCATCTCTGTGTTTCTGTGTCTGGGGGACCAGGAGCCGCGGCACCTGCAGTATGTGGCTGATCTGGAAGATTTGAACGTGTACTCTGTGGTGAACAGCCGCAAACTGTACGGAGCACCTGCAGACTTCACCTTCTGTATCAAGGTAACCACTTCCTACAGGCTTCACAGAGACGGTCAGAATATGTTGAGAGACAGACTAGCACATTGTTGGTTTTAGTCTTTTTGCAGCATTTCTTGAGAAAACTGACACTAGCTGTATCTTTTTATTTTGAGTAAACTTCCAAAAATTCAGTTTAGAGATAAACTAATTGTTTAATAATAATGCAGAAGGTAAAACTACAATCCTGAGATGAGCTGTGTTAACCTTGTCTCTCTGTTTTGTGTGTGTGTGTCTGCGTAGCCTTCCAGGAATCCTGTGCGTACTCAGGACCTGAAGATCCTGTGTGCTGAAAATGAGCAGACGCGAACGTGTTGGACGTCGGCTTTCAGATTGTTCAAGGTTCGAAAATAAGGCAGCTTCTGTCCTTATAAATCTTGAACAGAATTTTATAATAGTTTATTCTCTTGTGCAAGTGTAGACAGCAAATCGATGAATAATTTATTTTGCTTGTGTTTGTGTGTGGTCAGTATGGAAAGCAGCTTCAGTGCAACTACCAGCTGTCCAAGTCTTCGCTGCGGAGCCTGGAAGGAACCAATCTCACAGACAGCAAAGTACGATGTAGCACGCAATACATTATGGAGTAGTTACTGCTATAGATTCACCTCACATCTTTGCAGCTGCCTTTTTAAATGTTTGTGTGTGCAGTCAAAGTCCGAGGCTAGTCTGGTGGCCATGGACTTCTCGGGAAAGGCGGGAGGACGAGTCATCCAGAACCCAACGGAAGCCCAGAGTGCAGAAAGGGAGGAGGGTCAAGCCTGGAGGGTGAGCAGTAAAGCCAGAGCTGAAGAGTGATGGAGGCAGTAAATATGCACAGCCAGACCTCTGTTGAGCTCACAGAGGTTAGACAGGATGCTATAGACGGTGAGGGTCAGAGCTGGTGGAGCAGCAGGGAGGGCCTGCTTGGCTGAGACTGGATGCAGGACAGATGAACATCAAGGATAATTCTGCTTTATTACAACTGGAGTCTCTTTTGACAGTTTTGGCATCATTTCAGTTACACCAAAGTAAGGAACATAATGACACCGCTGCCTGGAGCAGGACGTGTCCAGAACCCTGAGCAGTGAGGCAGGCCGTAAACACACCAGCAGTTTAATCAGATCAGCTGAAGCAGCATTAATCACTTTGCTTACAGCACAACAGGCTGTAAAGATGACACTGGCATCCTGTCAGCCTATGAAGCTGAAACCTGTTAGCAAACTGATACCTATTTACACACCCGGCGGTTACAGAGGAGTCGTGTGTGCCTCTCTGATGAATGAAGTCCAGCAGTTCAGTTTTATTTGCATAGTAAAAACACACAACAATGAAAACAGAAAAGAGAGAAAATTGTGCAGGTGAGATAAAAAAAAACACCCAACCCTTATCATGTCATCTCACCATTAAAAAAAACTCAAGATAACTCCAAAATCTCAGGTGCACAGTTACTGTTCACAGCACATTAGCACAACAATTAGAAATTCAAGATAACTCTAAAATCTCAGGTGCACAGTTACCGTTCACAGCACATTAGCACAACAATTAGATGAGAAGAGAAGACAAACACACATTTATAGTTGAATCAAATATTGTCATGTCACATATCAAGCATACTCACATTGGAAGCCCCCAGATACAACAGTTTAGAGTAGACTGGCTCAACAGTTAAGCTCTAAGCCCAATTCTAAAATTTTTAAGTGAGGAGTCTTGTGTAGCACTAGTAAAATGAATTGAAATGAACTTGGTTTGCCATCAAGTTTAACACCAACAAATTGTATTTATGAGACCTGAGAGATGTGATTATTTGCAGTGGAAAGATGAGCACAAGGTTTGCAGTAATTTTAGTTTTTGGTCAAATATTGTTAGTCAGGAGTGAGTCTGAGGAAGCTGGGCCACGAAACACGATGCTATGTGGTATTCTGTGATTGAGTAGAGATGTAGTGATGTGAATGCCTCTAACAGTGTCTGATATTGTGACCTTTCCTTGTTTCTTCACTAACACAGCGGAGAGAAGCCCTGAGGTGCAGTCTGCCCAACTTAAACTCGGGCACGAGACCTTCCTGTAAGTCCACATGAGGGTCCTGATCCAGGGATTCTCTGGTTTTCAAAAACATAAGACTGTGCTTGCTCACTTCCTCATGTCTATGTTTTTGTCTTTGTTTGCAGCCATCCACAAGACACAGCCGTGGTTTCATGGTGGTGTGTCCAGGAAGGAAGCACAGAGACTGATAGAGAAGCAGGGGCTGGTAGATGGGTGAGTTACTTATTTACAGTAAAGGCCCGTTTACGTTGTCCCAGCAGCATGGTGTCCCTTGGTTTTACATCCATATGGAAGATTCTGCATCTCACGACTGACATAAGGTGTGAAGTTTGGTGCCAGTGCATTAGTAGTGTCCTTTTTGTAGCGAGGTAGAAAGTGAGGCTGTGGAGGTCGGTGGATCAGACTGCAGCCTGTCTGACTTCAATCCAGAAGACTAGAATTCATAATTAAAGGGAATTTTTCCATCAGTGTGTTTCTAGGTGTTGGGCAGTACTGCATATATGAAAACAGTTGCATAAAGTCTTTAGTGTCTCCAGAGGAGCTGTGTGAAGTCTGATAAACATCAAGTCATGTCCCTTGAGTTACTGTCGGTCTGAAGACTACAAGTGTGAGAAGTACTGACATCTTGAGTGTTTCTTGAGATGATGTTGATTTCAGGTTATTGTGTGCCTTGTGACAGGATGTTCCTGATCCGTGAGAGCCAGCAGCACGGGCAGTGCTTCGTTCTGACACTGTGTTACAAGTTGCAGACCAAACACTACCTGGTGATCCCTGTGAGTTCTCCTCATTCTCTAAGATACGATCAACACTTCTTTGTGATGCATCCTGACCCTCAGTGATTGTCTTCATCTCTGCAGTGTGAGGAGGAAGGCAGGAAGTACTTCACCATGGATGATGGCCTGACTGTCTTCATAGACCTGCTGCAGCTGGTGGAGTTCCACCAAATCAACAAGGGCATCCTTCCTGTGTGCCTCAAACACCCCTGCGTCTGTGTAGCACTTTAAACCGGTTCTTCTTTGGTACATGTAACCTCTGTGACCTCTGCTCTTTAACGGAGCCTCTCCTCTGGGCCCAGGGTCAGTCCTCTGGAGCTGTAATTCATGTCTGAAGTCTGAACCCAGTCATCAGACTGTACTGATATCTATTCCTGTTGATAGAGCAGTTACAGTATGTGACTGGATAATCCAGCCACCAGAGCAGTGCAAAGGTGTGTGTCCGTGTGATTATGGTATCAGGTAAATAAGACATGGATTCAGAGGATGTGTGATCCAGACATTCAGCATATCATCTGCCTCTCCTCTCTTTAGCATTTTTAATCATTTTGACTACACGTGCAGCTCCAGACAGTGGTTGGTTTTTATTTTTAATTAATGAGCCACAGTCCCCGTGGAGATGGCTTAATTAGCCATGCTGGATAGACTTTTAGTGCTACGGGGATGTTTGGAGAAGGAACGCTTTTAAATACTGTGCACTTTGATTCAGGTCCATGCAGTGATGCTGAGAGGTCCAACGTGCACTGTGATGAGGGCAGCAGCAGACTAAGGACTGAGGCCATCAGAGGGCGCAATGAGGCAGAGCTCAAAAAAGGAACTCGAGGGATGTTTCAGTTGTGTAATGTGGCAAAGCAATGCATTTTGCTGTTAATGAAGAGGATTGTGATATTGTCATCCTGCCCCAGGTTGCAATCATGTAGCAAGTAAATTCTCACTCTGCAGACTGTGTGTTTTGTACACAAGCTTCTTATTTGTGCCTTAAAAGTCTCATTTTAATTAGAACAAACCAACTATTATAACTATACCTACTTTTGATGCTGTATTTGCACAGTGACTCTGAATGGAAGCTGCAACATTTTGATGTTTATAAACACAAATATCTAATATTAAGAGTTTTTTTTTAGGGTACCTGAAAACTGGTTTTGAAAACTGAAAAATGTTAGCACTAGGGAATCGGTGAAGACCATGAGATGTGGTTAAAGCTACAGTAGTAAGTGGACCTCAAGTTGACTGTTCAACCTTTTTGTTATTGGTGGTTGTGTGAATATTTTCTTTTACCTGTAATATTTTGCACTTACTGTTTCATTGTGTTGTGAAGATCTGTTGTAAAAAAAGACAGCATATTGCCATTGTTCATTCAGGCCAGTTTACTGTTCCCATGTGTTTGATTTTATTAGATAAGGTTTGTTTATGCAACTATTTTTGTTATTTTCAGTCCTGTTTTATATGTTGAATAAATAATTTCATATTAAACTAAATTCCTCAAAATTAAAAGGTCTCTTTCTTGTGTATACAGTAATTAATAAGATGCTGAACAGAAAAGTTGATAGAATCAGTGGTGGAAGAAAGACTCAGATACTTAAGTAAAAGTGGCACAACTTTAAAAACATGTTTAAAAAAAAAAGTCCTCCAGTCAAAATAAGTAAACCGATAAGTTGTATTTAAAACATTTTGGCTGGCTGCTTGAATAACCGCCCTCCAACCTCGTACAGGCACGTGAATTGAACGTCCCCACAATCCGTACAGCTGCGTACTATGCAGGGGGTCACGCTAGCCGTCGTTCGTTTTGGTTACTGAAAGATGGGAACGTGTTCGCAGAAATGCCGCAGGTTTTGGCATGAAGGTGTAGGAAAAGACGAGAAAAGGTCGATAGTTGGAGCCTAAATTCAAAAACTGATTGAAGAGTGCCTGTCGAGCTAGCTAAGCGAACCCCACGGCTAACGGTAAGTTTCGTGTGTGTTAAGCGTGACATGTTTGTAGACTCGTACTGTGACTCGACCTTTAGTGTTTGTGTGTTCAACTGAGAGTTATATTATTTTATTTATATGGTTAGCGCCAGTGTTTTGTGACGTTGTGCTACCTAACGCTACTTAGCGAGATATGCTAACTACCCTGTCAGACCATCGGCAGGCCCGCTAAGCCCCTCCCCCCGGGCGATCTCCCACAAGGCGCTGTCTTCAAAATGCTTTTTCTGACCAATAAGAATTAAAAGATATTCACACCTTTGAGAAGCTGTAACCAGCAAATGTTTACTTTTTCTTTTGCTTGAAAAAATTTAGCACAACTGTTGGTATCAGATATTTGCTATTTGGGCAGTAGTGGTTCAGTGGATAGAACAGTCGTCTTTCAGCCGGAGGGTCCGAGGTTCGAATCTCGGTGCCTGTAGTCCACATGTCGAAGTGTCCTTGGGCAAGACACTGAACCCCTAAGTTGTCCCCGATGGTTAGAGCCATTGGTTTTGCGCCACAGATGGCTGCCTCGGTTCGTACCAGAAACAAATTCCTTGTGTGTAACGTACTTGGCCAAATAAAGGTGATTTCACTTATCCTATTAGTTATCAGTGATTGATTAACTCAATGTAGCAGCTCTAGAAAGCAGCAGTGGTTGAAGAAGAGTCGTTGTACCACAGTGTAGATATGCTGTTATAATACTAATAAAATTTTAATTTTGTGTGATCTCCTTTTGTTCATAAAGCAGCTGCAGTCAGAAAGACAAGAGAGGGCAGAACAACTTAAACTCTTGAGCAGACTTTTCTGCAGGTGTGAATAGCGACCTGTGGTCTTGTTGTAGAGAGTAGGAAGAGTTACAGGAACTAACACCTGTTTTCATGTACATATGAAGAAAGTCACTTTCTGCTGTTCCCATTTAGGGGTCGCCACAGCGAATCATCACACTGACGACTCGCATGTTGACACTTGGCACATGTTTTACGCCGAATGCCCTTCCTGATACAACCCTGACTTGAACCCGGGCCACAGCGGGGAGAGCGCTGCGCCTTAACCACTAGCCTTCCAGGGACGGCTTGTTTTCATGTACATATTGGCATGCCAATATGGTTTTAAAAATGGTTTAAAAAAACCCCTCAACCTTTAAGCTGACTGAGAGTCAGCACTTCACCTCCAGAACCCTTGGTAATGATAGAGGTGTCCCCGTTTTCACTTTTACCCCTGGCCCTCAGAGTCCCTGCACTCACCTCACATGAACATCTGGCAGTTTCCAGAAGCGCCACATCAGTCCTTTTTGAAGTTCTCTACACCTGTCTTCCTCTTACTTGATGGGTAATTGCTGGTGCTGTGTGTGCAGTGTGGTGTTACTGTATGTGTCTGCAGCGTCGGCTGCATCCTGATTCATTATTCAGCTCCCCTGGCCAGACGTAGCAATAGAGCAGCTGCTCTCTCTCAACCAGGAATCAATGAATCTGTAATTATCCCGTCATCTCCGTCTGTCTCCCCTTTCCTGTTCCTGCTTTCTGTTTATTCTCTCAGTCTTCCTCTGTCTTTCTGCTGTCTGTTTCTCTGCTCAGGCTGTCATCCACTCAGCCTGTTCACCTGTCACCTCTCGGCCTCCTGTCCTCCACCTCTTACTTGGACATGTCTTTCTACTCTGTGTCCTCCACTTCCACTGCTGCTCTCCACATGTGAAGCAGATTTAAATACCTAGATCTAGGGCTTATAAAGCCACAACTTGAAAGACAGATGTAGATAGTGAGTAAACTTTCCACTCATACATTCATCTTCCCTGCTTTCATTCTCTTCACCTATCCCACATTTGGGTAATTACATTTCCTCTCTTCTCTCTTGTCAGGGTGTGATTTGTCTCTCGCTGAGCTGCGACTTAAACGTGTTAATTACCTCACCACCTATAGAAGGATGCCCAGGACATCACTTCACAAGCGACTCTCAGTGAAATTTCAGGAGTGAGTATTCAAGAATGAGCATACATCATACTGATATTTTTCTATTACCCACCTGTGGCATGTGATATGTGACTGTGTGTGTGCTGCAAAGTGTAGTTCAAGGGCAAACTGAAGACACTCTCAGTCCTAGCCACCGCTCTTTTTAATTTATCACTATATTTTATTTAGCAGCTAGTTCATTCAGGGCAACAAACAAGGTGCTGTGTTGACTAGTGTACAACATCCTGTGCACTGCAGACCTCTGCTCAGATCCATTTATTTTGTTAGGATCAGGGTTTGTTCTTAAGACACTTAAGTCAACTAAACTTTGACTTCTCAGCAGTAACAGTTTGTGATTCCACATATGCAGCAGCTTGTTGATGTTATATAATTACTTCATGTCCATCTTTCACATCGTTTATTTCTTATTTGGTGATAAAAATGAAGACATTTTGCTGTAGTTTTCACTATCAATTGTTAAGTTTTTGTCTTTTTTGTCCTGAAAAACAAGGCATCAACAAATATTTTTCATCACTGACAAAATGTTTTCAGTTCCTTAAAGACTGAAAAGGTCTTGGATTGTAATGATGTTAAAACATATCAGCCGGCCCTAATGTGTGTCTGTTCGCTCTGTTACGTTCTTCTTAGCTGGGGCCTTAAAAAGCATTGCGAGCATATTTTTTGTCTGTATTAACTAGCATCCATTATCTACATTTTCATACACAGTAACATGTTTACATTTATGTTTTGCCCTGTGCAGTGTCCTGTTCTGTTGTGCTCATGTCTGTTTATTTACTGCTATTATTTTATTCATGTGCACATTTAGGTTGGTCGGGATTTTTTATCATGACCCATTTCTGAACTTTTTTCTTCTTTGCTGCTGATTCTCTGAGGTCCTGCGTTTTGTGGCCAAACATTTTCTTCCCCTTCCCCCCTAGAGATCGTACTCTCAGGTGTCGTAGTGTCCTGACATACGGCCCCCATGTCCCTGAACGCACACACACAGTCTCATTAATTCATGGCCTTCAACTCGGGATTGAATTACAAGCCATCACATGTGTACACACAAACAGAGATGAGCTGTGTCTGCAGTGTTTCGTCAGCACACATCAGGGTTTGCTGTGCCACACTTTGTTTGATGTTATTCATAATTCATCTTCTGGAAGTATGAGAGAAATATCTGCATTCACTTCCTTTTTCTTTCCACGGTTCCCTTTCACCCCTCAATCCACTGCACAGGGATGAGTGGCGAGCTCTCGCACCGTAGTGCTATTGAATCACTGATACATACCACAGCTTGTTCCCACAGATGTGAACACATCATTTGAGTCCAGTGCGTATAATAACGCCCTAAGATAAAAGGCAGGGGAATGGAGCGCAGGCCCTTTAAGACAGACAGAATGGGGAGGGGTCTGCATCCATAAAACATGAGTTTATTCAGTGGCCATGCTAAGCCATGGTTAGAGGCTCCTCTGCACTCCAGAATGCTCTCATACCCATCACAGAGCATCCCCGTCTGACCAGGCACTTCACACACATGCTGGTAGAGCTCTGCCACAAGCCGAGAGATGGACCTTCAGAGAAGAAAGGGATGAAACTGGAGCAGAAAACAAGCAAGAAGAAACAGTAGAAGCAGAGAGTGTATGGGGAAGAAAGAGGAGGTTCCAGGGATAAACAAGAAGATTAGAGAGAAAGTAACAGCACGATAGAGGACAGTGAACAGGTGCATCGAGGCAGAGAATGGGCAATTCCTCCTTCCCAGGCATGTCCCCTCTCTCTCCGTCCATTCTGTAATTGCAGGTATTTCTAACTTGAGTGCCTTTCTCTGCTGGGAAACTACCGCCGTTCACCTCCACTCTCTCTCCTCTTCAGTGCTATGCTATTAGTGTTTTTGATGTCTGTCTTTGTCAGCATGTTGTTGGTAGATGAAATCAATATCACTTTACAAAGATAAAGTATATACTTTGTTGTAGAAACACTTCTAGCAGTACTGCGGTGTCTGACTATAATAGAAAATCTGGGACACTGAGGCTTCTTTTACAATTTATTGGTGCTGATTGAGTAACTGTCATGTTAAAACTTATTATTCTAAGTGTTGCCGGGAATTTGGAATACATGAGAAGTCCCTTTGAAATCTATTTTAGTGCAGATATTGGGGGGGTTTGGGATGAGAGTGTTCGTGTCAGTTGCATCTGGAAGCTTGTTTACTGCCTGTGTGGATGGGAGGCTGCTGATGTTCTGGCATCTGGGGTAGCCTGAAAGAGGACCCTTGATGGAGTTACAGAGGCGGCTGCTGTTCCGAGACACGGAAGGACAGTGTTCCTAATTTGAAGGCAGATTGCTGCATTTTAATAGTGGTTTAAAAATGAAGTAGCAAAAAGGAAGTCGTTGTTTGCTTCAGAACTGATATCAGATTGATTCTTCATATATGAAAGGAGAATTCATTTAGGTGGGTCTTTCACATCTGCAGTTTGTGCCTCTTGAGCGTATCATTACATTCAAGCCACAGAACTAGGCATCTGTTTTTCAGGAAGGTAAATCCCTGACTGGGACTTAGCGATACGGTTGTGGAGTCACAACGGCCCTGTAAACTCTGGCAGGTGTGTGTGTGTATGTATTGGGCTTTTCTGCAGTGGTTTTATACTAGAGGCAGACCACCATACCTTAAAACAGTAATGTTGCATCATAAACATTTAATACAATACAATGAAGAAAATTCTTAGAAATAAAACAAAAAGCACACAGCAAATGGCAAATATTGGAGTGTGTCATCTGCTAATTAAATCTCAAGAGATGCGTCAGTATCAACTATTCTGGTGATTGATTCATCTTTGCTTAAGTGAAAACTAAGCTGAATACTTTTGGTTTTGGCACAAACTACTATGAAAAACAATTACCTGTGCATTTTTCAGTTTCTCTGTCTGTGGAAAACTGATACGTGGGTTTATTTTTGGACATTTTGTAGGCGAAACAAAACAATTTAAATAAAATAACTAGAGGATTAATTGATCATGTTAACCACATTAACAGCTGTCACACTTATCAGTGACCAAAATGCCCTAACAATCAAAAACAAGTTTAAAAAAAAAACAACAAAATTTGAATTAATTCATTCATTCCATGTATTTCTCAATCATACCTCTGTTTGGAAAAACCCATAAGGTTGTGTAACGTCATATGATAAAGATTTTCCAAGTTGCACATATAGTATAGGATGAAGCAAAAATGGTTTACCTTAAAGTTTTTTATGATGCAATTATTCTGTTTACATATACAGTATATAAGAGCTATACCAAATTTTTCTTTTGTTATACAAGGCAAGCAAGGAGCTGTGTATTTACTGGCTGCATCTTTGTTTGAATTAGGACGTGAGTTGCAAATCCTTTTGGTCGTGCAGCAGAATGAATATACAAATATTAACTTTTTTATTTAAAGGATTCAAGAAATGGCATCGTATTAGTGGCGATTGTTTTTAAATAAGCCTCTAGGATTTTCAAAGCTCACCAGGTATTTCGGAAAGATCTCGACAGTTCCAGTATAATAACCGGAGAAGCGCAGACTGGTGCCACTACTGTACTGTCGACTGGCAGAGTGAAAAATGGAGGGCTTTACTGTCTAATCGGTGCTGATTTACATGATACCCTCCTCTCTTCACCCTCCAACACACTCACTCTGCACAAATCTGTGTCGGAGCAAGAAATGACTCGAGTCTCTTGAACATGGTGGGAGGCAGGGCTGGAAAAATACCAGCTATTTTAAAATTCAGCCTAGTTCGAGATGAGGCCTGTCACATTCTGCATGCTGTTGCACTTGAAAATCACTGAGTATTAAATCCACACAGAGCATTTGGAAACACACAGTCGCCCTTGAACTTCTTAAATGTATCTCTTTGTGCTGCATGACTACACGAGTCATGTCACCTCAATGATGTGCCAACGCCCTCCTCGACTCTTCAGGAGGTTTTATGGGGTGGGGGTGGTGGTGGGTAGCAGATCGAGCATGTTGGAATCACAAGTAACTGGAGAGCGAGAGAGACGAGACTGCAGAGGATCAGTCAGAGCTGAGGAGCTGCAGCCAAACAGTTTTCCCATGTCAACCTGATCAAACTTGTTGACATCCTGAAGGAGATGGGAGAGATGCGGAGGCAGAGTGAAAGAGACGAAGGGTGGGTGGTTCTGGCATCAGAGGACTGATTGATGCGGTTGCCTCAGAGGCACCAGGGGAGGGATATTGAATCAGGGATGTCTGCTTTGCACTCTAACATTTAGAGACTCGGCTGCTTTTTCGTCCTTGAGTTGGCTTCCTTTGGCTTCTTTTGAGGCAGAACAGCTTTTGTAAGAAATGTGGTGTCAAGCCCTCAGGCTACAGATGCCTAAATGCAGGTTTAAACACCAGACACTTCCTCATTTTGGTAGCATGTCTAAAAAATGGTGACACTTGAGCTGACAAGTAACTTCATTAAAAAAGATGATACATAACCTGCAGCTCTGAAAGAAAATTATTCAGCTATTTTATAATTGAATTGAAGGGAATTTCATTCACTGATATTGAAGGGATTGAGGTGTTTTGTCTATTGAATGGTGTGTTACAGTTGGGAAATATATTCCTGTTGGTGGTACTGTACCATGGCCACTTGTTAACTGCTCTAGTTGATCGACACATCATCATCTGTGTCCGGGTCGACTACAGTTTGGATCAGGATAGGGTTTCCTTGGCCCCATTTGGGCCAGACTTTTGATTATAAATGAGCTATAGATGCAGTTGTTTCAGTTGTTGGACCGCTGAAATTTTTTTCAGAGGCAAGAGTTTTAGCCAACAAAGATGTATAAACTAGGGCTGCATGATAAATCATTTTGTGAGTGTGATTTAGATCCCTTTGCCATCTCGGTCTCATGTGACAATGATTCTGCCATCTTTGCATCAGCAGGGAGACGCCTTGCATCAAACCAAGTGCTCCCTTTTCCTTGCTAAGCTGCATTAACCACTAACTGATTATTTCTGCTTCAACTGCTATTCGGCACTACATGTATGGGGCAGGCAGTGCAACGTTTGGGGAAAAAAATAGTAGCAGGATGACAGAATATTTTTCACCTTATCTAACATGTTGGATTTGTTTTTGAATCACTTTTCTTTCCATCTACAGCTCACCATGTGATGCTAGTTGTCTGGTAAAAAACATGGACAGTCTCCCCATGTGATTTCTAGGATGCTCTCCATCTAGAATATCTTTCCATCCACTTTAAAATGTTACCAACTTGACCTGCTTTGGTCCCCGGGTGTATCTCTTAGGAGCTGTCCTCTGTTAATGTGTAGGAGGACACGTGTGGCTTAAGTCTTCCAGCTCATGTTTGTTTTGCTCTTTTTCATATATTTCATATTTTCTCTGGTGATGACTTCAGAAAGAACCGAGGCCAAATTTCATAGGAGAATATGTCTGTTACTGTTGTAGGATGGATACTGGTGACTGTCATACAGCAGTGTTTGCCCAGGAAAGGTTTTGCCTTTTTAAAGAATAGCCAGGTGTCTTTTTAAACAAATCCCCCAGAATGAAGGCACATGATATGGGATAGGCATGAATAGACTAAAGATGAAAAAGGCATTTTGTTAAAAAGCTAATCTGACAATGAAAAGGCAGATAAAAGTGTGAAGCAGCCCGTTATGTTTTGTTTGTGTCATTGTTGTTGTAGTTTCCCAGCCTCCAGAATCTGAACACAAAGTGGAAGTAAAATGCACTGAATAAAGCAGAAAAGAGATGGTGGGTGCCCTTCTGTAATAAATCAGCTTAATTGCAAAGTACCGTGTCACATTTTTCTCCATAGCAGCCGTTTCCATTTTCTTCTCCAACTGACGGTCGCTGGACACAAAGTGCTGGTAATGACCTCAGGTCTGCTAGTGTGGGCACACTGCCAGTGATGGGTTCTCATTTAAACTCCTCTGCACCAGTGGAAAACATGTCTGTCACCGTTTTCACACCAATTATACACTACTGTGAGTTCAGCTTTTTAAAATTGTATGCAGGCAGCACACAGTGACTACTGGTCAATAGCTACACAAAACTCCAGCAGTTGAGCTGTGCAACATGATCAAAATGTCATATTCTAATATAAATCATTTCATATCAACGCAATGATACATATCACAATATAGCACATTTTCTGAAAATACAATAAATATACACGCTTTATAAAATGACCACATGGAAAGGATCGGGAAGAAATGACCGCTCGGAAAAATTTATTTAATTGGTACTATGAGTTTTAAACTTGGTTTCTGTCCAATTTGCTAACATGTAGGAGGCCGGATTTATGACCTATACTGCAACCAGCCACCAGGGGGCGATGGCGTAATGGTGGCTTCACTGTCATGGCATCCATATTTTCTATAGTGGATGCATGTAACACGTGCAGCCTTAACTGAACCATTTACAACCAGCTATTACTGAGAAAAGGAGCAAGTGCAAAGGTTGACCTTGGGGTGCGTTTTTTTTAAATCCAGCCCTCCTCTCTGAGGTTTGTCATTTGGAATGAAGACAGTCTGTATTGAAGCTCATAAAAGTTTTTCATCTACACTGAATTGTCAAATGAAGTTTTTTGACTTGACAGAACTTCTGCAATAATTCATTGTGATACTACAAAGATTCCTCTGACTCAGGTCCATGTAGTCCCACTTGTGTGTGTTGGTTGCAGTTTGATTCAAGAGCCAACTAGCTTCTCTGCCTGCAGCAAGACCATTTCCTTTTCCCTCAGCAGTGGGTAGATTTGAGAGCAGTATTAAACACATGTGTGTTGCACATGTGCTCT